TGGGCGCCATGTCTTCAATTTGCGTTTCACTAATCGCGGGTTGGCTCGATTTCACTTCTTCTCTCTTTCGCTCGTTCTTGCTCGATATCGCAATGTCGGCGCGAAGTCTCCTCGTACTGCCTTTACCTTCAAAGCCCTAACAATGCCTCCTCCCGCGTCCAGTAGAACTCCCGACGCGTGCGAACATCGTCCGGCGCGTTGCGTGATTTGAAATTGATTCCGATGTTTTCGCCGAAGACGTAGCTCTTCGTACATCCATAAAAGGCTGCGCCGAAGACACGAAGATCCGAAGATCTTCTTATGTAGACGAATTCTAACTAATTCTATCATTTCGCCTCAGGAGCTGTTCATTCCAACTATAACAACTACTTTCTAAACAAATATCTTTTAGTTTTGTTGATTATCAAAGAAAAACAAAAAAACTAGGCACGACACTATTCTCCAACAGTAGTGGGAACATGTCACCATGGATCTTGAATGTGAGCTACCAAAGACTTCGTTAGGACATGATTCAATGGTGGTTTTTGTGGACAAGCTGAGCAAGATGATTCACATCAGGCCAACCACAAAAATGGTAACAGTTTCACAACTAGCTCAATTGTATCTAGATGCAGTTTTTGTGAATCATGTTTTAAGCAAAGTGTTAATCACGGATAGAGGTACTCACTTCACTAGTTTATTTTGGAAAACTTTATTTAGTTTTTTCAAAACAAAACTAGCAATGTTAATAGCCTATCATCTTAATAGAACCATAGAGGATATGCTACGAGCATTCAGATTAAAAGAGCAAGAAGAGTGGGACAACCTTTTGCCACTTATGGAATTTGCATATAACAATTTTGTTAATGCATCCACAAAATTGTGTTCATTTTTTCTTATGTATGGAGTTCATCCTATAAGTCCTTTAAGTTTGATGAGACTTCCAACATGAGAGGAGTTTTCGATCAAAGTTGCAACAGTCATCGAATTTGTGGAGCATATTCACCGAGGATTACATCATGCCAAGAAGAAGTTGATGATAGCTCAAAATCGGCAAAATCAACATGCCGATGCTCATCGTAGAGAAGTGGTTTGAGAGGTTGGAGATCATGTTTGGTTATCTACAACAAATTTGTCTCTTGTATGAACATCAAAATTGAACTCTAGGTTCATTGCTCCATTTTTGGTTTTGAAGCGTGTTGATGAAGTGTCATACAAGTTGGAACTTCCGTCACATAAGAAAATACATCCAGTTTTTGAGTGTCACCATTGCGAAAACATGTACCACAACCCAAACAATTCACCAACCAACCAGCATCATCTCCTTTTCCAACCTTGATAGCAGATCATGAGGAGTTTGAAGTAGAAAAGATACTCAAGAAACGTATTCGAGGTCATAAGTATCCCAAAGTAGAGTATTTGATTCAATAGAAAGACTATCCATCGTATGAATCAACTTGAAAACCAGCTAAAATTTTAGCAAATGCACCTTTGATAGTTCAAGAGTTTGAACCTATGTGCAAAGAGGACGTTACATCTTAAAAGGAAGGAGGTTTGTAATCATCTTTATTTAATTAGAATTAAAGTAGATGTTACTCTAAATGTTGATATATATACTTTAGCGTGCACTAGTCATAGTTGCCACGTCAGCGATTCGCGCGCTTGATAGATAGAGAGTGGATGTGTTCGTTTACAACACCACGTCATCAATCCGTGTGCTTGTAGCTAAGGATTGGGTGTGTTAGTTGGGAGCGTTTTGTCAGCGATCCGTGTACTTGTTAGGGTTATTCGCCACGTCATCCATCCACTAGGAATGGGATGGATGGTGGAAATAGGATTTATCATCTTGTACTTGTTGGTGAGAGCTATATAAAGGAGAAGAGAACCATTGTTGGTATCTCTCACGTTTCTATCTTTGAGTGAACTTCTCTCTAAACCCTAATGTTACACAAATATACAAGTTCAATTTTATGTTTCAAAATGAAAGAAATAGAGGTCAAACAAAAGATTGCCTTGTGCAAACAAAAGCACATATTTATTGTCACATTGATCACAATGCAATATGAAGATTTGTGATAACAACGACAGTTGTTGCACCCAATTTTTCACAAAAAAAACTATAACATGAAACAAAGTGCAATTATAGTCATCACTTGCTTTGAAGAATAAATAAAGGAACAAAAAATCTCCAAAGATTAAGCATAAACGACGATGATAAAGTGTTTGCATTCATACTGCATTGACCAAAGTTTGCATTTGAGAGCATGATAGAAAAGACAATAATGACGTCATTGTCTAATAAAAGATACAAATCATGTGTGAAGTGTTGCACCATTTGCAAATGTTTCAATATGATTTTTGATTATTGCAAAAGCTTCCATGAGCCATATTCCCACTCATGTATATAACTAACAAATAGTTTCATTTTTGAAATGTTCAATGTACAATGATTTAGCTTAAAAAAAATTCAAGTCATATTTAGTTTAAGCATTCTGAATTATTTCAACATTCTAGTTTTACAATATCTATAAATTGCATAAGATTAGGGAGAAATTTGTATGTGGAAATCAAATTAGATCTATGAGCTAAGATTTGAAGTTGCAATGTTGGTTTTTTGATAATTTGAAGCATTTATTATATAAATAAAAAGGATTTATCCATCATACAAACAACACAAGTAATCATATCTAGGAATGGACAGAAGTTTATGATGGTTATGATACCAAAATATGACAAAATCAAATACAAGTGTCAATCTTGAGTCAAAGATAGTCGTGAAAATGTAATGACTATCTTTTATGCTATGAAAAAGACAAGTCCATTTGCTGTGGATGAGGCCAAAATCGTTCACTTACAACAATAATGATTGACTAGATAGACCTTCACGAACAAACTATGAGTATTGTTATATTACATTTGCAACCATTGGTTTTTAAGCAAGTGTATGTATAACGTTGCTTGAGATTCTTGAAGTACAATTCCATAAAAAATTAGTGTATAAACGTTTTATGTTTACTTGAAGTTAATAAGCTTTTGTAATGATAGATTTATCTTAGATCTATTGGTTAGATCATCATTAACTTCAAACAATAAGATTTAAGCTGTTACTTAGAAAATATATTCAAATATTACTTATTTTCAAATATGTTTTATGCTCCATGAAAATGTTTAGAGCTATGGATAATAATATTTATAATATATGATTAACTATTTAAAAACATATTATTCATAAAAAATATATCTCAATTTGAAATAATGTAAAAAAAATTCAATATATTGATCTGAATTTTACTGTGATCAAATTTTTTTTGTTTCAATATCATATAATTTTTAAGTGAAGAAAATTTTCACTTAAAATTTATAGTGAAAATTTACATTGTGTGATTTTTAAATATATTTTGTATGGTTGTTTATTCTAAATTTTGCTTAACATAGATTTGCACGTGATTTTTTCTAAGTGACAATTTTTTTCAAAATGATATCAACTGAAATGATAATTTTTATGAATTATTTATCAAAAAAATATAAATAAAAATTGAAAAAATTGCAACATTTTTTATATAGTTAATGTCATTCTCTATATACTAAAATTTTATCATTTTACATTGTTTGAAAAGTCAATCACATAAATATATGTGAAAATGATATAACTTAAAATGATCTAAATTGATATGTATAATTTTAAGCTGAAAATAATGATTAAAACCTTCAAATTTATTATCAATGAATTGTTTAACAATATTTTTAGATTATATTTTAAAATTAAAATTGAAAAAAATATTCTATCTGATGTACTATTATATTTTAAATCTCAAAAAAATAACTAGAATTTCCAGATTAATTTTTATGTTAAAAGATTTTAATTCTTATAAAGTTCTATTAAGAATATTACTTCAGTCAATGAAGTATATTTTGTGTGATGACCTTCCAAATTTAGAATATTGGAGATATTTATTTTTTTAAATGAGAAAGATTATATCTTATAACAATTATTCGAATCTTAATATGAATAAAGTCGTAAATTTTAGCTCATCAAAAGAATAAATTAGAAAAAATTTAAAATCATAAAATATTTATATGATTATGACTATAAAAAACATACCAAATTTTTATTACCCATATTGAAAAAAATTTATGTTGACAGATCATTTTCATAATATGGAAAGATTCGGATACAAAGATGATATTTATATATCGTGTATAATCTTGACTAATTGCATTACAAAATCAAACTAGATATATGTATTTATTGCAGTTAGATCGTCTATGATTATTTGCGAAAGTTGTTAGCTTTACACAAGAGTGCCGGTAGATAATATACAACTCAAATTTAAATCTTCAATAAAAATAATGTGTTCCGTGCACATGATTTTCTCTGTTTTGGACTATGGATATTTTGCTTATTATGTTTTTCATTGTGATATGAATAAAATCCAAAATTTTTCATTGGATATTTATCACCTATATGATTGATTTTATCATACAATGCAAAATTTGGTATTATATTGATAGAGCAATATAATTAAATGAATATTTTTAGATTAAATTCTATATATATAAATAAAATTACTAGTGTACAAACCTAACCATAAGTTACAACATTGTTGCATTAAAAGAAAGTCAATTGGTCTTGATTATTCAAACTACAAAGATGAATAACTTTTTAAAAATAACATTGTTCAAGCTATAGTTGAACAAGGTTAATATTTCATAAATTCAAAATGTTTCCATGTACAGGTTACAAATTTTCTTGCTATATTTAATTGTAAATTATAAAATCAAACGTTAAAAATAATTTTTTGATCATTTAATTTTTTCATTGTGAGACTGTCAATATGAAAATTAAATATTAAATTTTTTTCTAGAAAAGTAATGTAATACCACAGGAGCATACAAACGATCAAACTCAGGAGTGCATTTTATCGGATTTTCGGCGACAGTGAGTCCGCGAAGCCTGTCAAGTGCCATGGCGGGGTCGGAAGGGAGGATCTAGGGTTAGGGCTGGTTCTGTCACTGGTTTGTGCAACATCAGCTTTTCGAGTAAGCGAAATTCGGACGAAGGAATTGGATTTGGTGTCAAGGAGTTTGGACGGGCTGGTCGATCAGTTGCAGAACAGAGAAGGCCGATCGCCTGCAAAATGAAGTCCGCCGTGGGGAAGGTTGTAAGTAACAAAATGCAGAAATCGGTAGTTGTTGCCGTCGAGCGCCTGACGCAGCATCCTCTGTATCCGAAGTTTTTGAAGAAGACCAGTAAATTCATGGCTCATGACGAGAATAACGATTGTAATATCGGCGATCAGGTTGGTATTGCTTCCGATTCTGAATGATGCGAGTAGCTCAGAATTTTCATTTCGGATTGGAATCCAGCGGAGGGATTGCATTATTTGCTGTGTAAATTTTTGGTGCGATTCTGTGTTTTAGCAGTGTGGTTCGTGGAAAGGAAAACTAAGCAGAGATGCGAATAGCTCAGAATTTTCAAATTGGATTGGAATCCACAGGAGAGATTGCATTGTCTTCTTTGTAAATTTTGGGTGCGATTATCTTTTTCACCTCAGTGTGGTCCGTTGAAAGGGACACGAGGCTGAGATTTGAATAGCTCAGTATATTCAATTTGGATTTGAAACCAGAGGAGGCTGCATTATTTTATTTTGTATTACTTAGGTGCGATTACGTGTTTCACCAGAGTTTAGGTCCTTGGAAAGTAACACCAGGCTGAGATCATCCCGAAAATTGTTAGTTCTGGACTATTTGTTGGATCTACTGCGCGATCTGCTCTGTGAAGTGCAATCGCGTTTTTTGGAACGGAAAGTGGTGCTTGTTTGTTACATTTGTGGAGGTATTTGTGGAATCTCTTGACTTTCCGATTATGATTTGTGCTTACGAATCAAACTTCAAAATGTGGGCTGTTTCAGGTTAGAATCACGCCTTCCCGACCTTTGAGCAAGAGGAAAACTTGGGTTGTTTCGGAAATTATCAGAAGAGAGCATATTTTTGAGGCTCCATCACCAGGTTCACAAACCACGGCTGCTGCAGCTGCAGCTTCATCTTCTTCTACTGAAGCAAGCAAACAGCCAGAAGCTGCACAAGAGACAGCTAAATAATGTTTAACCTCGCCCGCTGCCCTGCTAAACCTTCTGACCTTGCAGTGTCCTCTCATGAGAAGCGACACTAGCAGGGTCATCCAATTTTGTGGTCGGTTAGACAATCCGGTCTAGACTTAATTGTGTACAAAGTTTAGAATTATACAAGATGAATTCATCCCCGCCCCTGGAGCATATGCGACGATATTTAGCTTTGAGCTGAATCTTTGAAAACCTTTTTGGGTTACAATTTGAGGGATGTGAACCGGGCATGTTCTGGCTTCTATGCACCACCAAAGGATCGTTAGTAGTTTCAGTATCACTTCTTAGAATTAGAATCACTTTCATGGGACAACCCCCCTCACTTGGTAGGAAACAGGAGTGTACATCTTGCACATGTGGTAGACTTCTTACAGGTGTTTATGGCATGACTGCGGTTTCAAGAGAGTTCAAAGGAGTAGGCAGATCACGAAGTATGAATGTTATAAGTTTCGTTGTGGAGGACAGACTGTGATACGAGCTGAATGGTACGAGGACAGGTGGACACAAGGTGGGAGGAAAGCTCTCACAAGTGGATCCACACCCCGAGCAGGAAGTCTTTATGTACTTCTTTTCTAACATCTGTCCCAGTACCGTCTCAATGGGAGATATTGAAGAAAGTGCCTTAAGCTCACTGGAATTGTACCTGTGCACTCATTTAATACGTTCTTACTGTTATGCAGTTCGAGTTTATCGACTGCTTGCCATTCCGTAATGGCAAGCCGTCAATACTAACGAGTAGTTCGTTTTGTGCCACATCTACACCAAGTCATGCAGTTGGGTCCTTCTTGCTGGGGACATGTGTCTTTGCTGAACCGAGTTTACGTTACTATGCGACTGTCGGGATCTTGTGTATGAGACTGGTATGTGTTTGGTAGATCACGTGTTTACAGTTCCCTATGTGAGTTGAATATCTTTTTGCAATCATTGTCCTGAATGCGGGTGTTTTTGATTTTCGGGAACATCGTGAAACTTATGGTGAATCACTATCTCTAGTGTAGGCATCTTAGTTTGGTTCGACCCGAAAAAAAGCTCCTCGGATGCAATGCTGGCAACTTCATGGATGGTTTATGCTCTAATAACATGGAGTCATGGGAGCAGTACTCTATATAACAGTGGTCGGTAAGTGGTCATGATTCAATTCGCAAGCTTGAAACAGAGGATTGCTAAGTCTCTGTTTATTAACCAATCACAAGCAGAGTCCCGCACGGAGGTAAGCGGAGAGTAACAGTCTTTTAGGAGTCTTCGGTTGATTCTTCCGAGCAACGCTACAGTAGAAGCACTACTCCCGTATGTAAATCTAAGGTGTGTTGTGTGATTCGTAGAGCAAGAAGATCTGGAGAACTCAATTTATGTGTTGAAAACCTTCCCTTACTATGAACATAGTGACGAGACACATTGAGGTAGTGAAATTTTAGCGAGAAGTACTGGTGATGTCAAATGAATTTCAATGTTTCTTTGTGTGTTTTTAAGATGATTTGTTTGAGATAGAATAGAAGTGAATAACTGAAAACGGTGTCCGGACTCGCCTTGCTCTCTACATGGTTTACCATGCTGAAGAGAGGCATCAGCAGTAGCAGAGTATTTATGCTTGCACAAGCAAAGACTTCTGTAAGAACTAGTCAATGGAACCAAGACTTTTCGTGGTTCTACTTATTGATGCACGCGTTTAAAACCATTTAAAGTCAGCAGAAAAGTCAGCTAAAATACCTTGAAAAGTTATAACTACATTTTACAAATGAACAGGTCATAAAAGTGTATATGATGCATATAGCACCAGACTAGTTTGCGTGAAGTTTTCTATCTCTTACTCGATCTTTTCATAATATCAACCTGTAGGACTATAATCATGATCTTTTTCATGCCCAAGTTGCGATCAGTATGCAGCTCGGGGTTTTCTCTTGGAGGTGTAGACCCAACAATATACGACACGACTCAAGCCTCTGCCTAGCGGGAGGTGCTGTCATTGAATCAGAGATCAGGTCTGTTTTTGGTATTTGCCTCGAAGATATCATCTGTTATACCACTTGTTCCTCAATGCAGCACACATGCTTGTATTATGTAGAACTGAACTCATGCTCAAGAACACAACGTTTTGACTATCACCAAGAAGGAGGTGAGTCTAATGACCTGATGTGCTGATATTTCAATTCACTGCACTCTGGCGTAGCTGAAAACGTGGCCATGTACGCCTTCCTATTGGACGAACTAAGCACACCATTCTATTGTGTTAGACAACTGTTAGTTTATGATCTACTATCTTCGGCTACCAGCTATTCAACTACAACAACCAGCATCTGGGTAAACTGGTAGGTATGATCTAACTTATCCCTCTAATCCATAATCTTCTCATCCATTCTACCTTTCAGGTATCTCATGAATTTCTTTGACATCATCAAATGTTGAGTAGCGTATATTATCTTCTAAGATAATGACTTGGAAAAAGATCTGATAATGAAATATCAGGTCTACAATTACCATGATATAGATTTATAGCCAATTAGCTGCACAACACATAGTACAGTCGTAACTTTCTGTTGAATGCCATGTGCTATGTCGCATCTGAATCAAGTCTGCTTTCTGCTCAAGTGGTAGAGTAAGATATATATATGTATATATATATACTAATACGCTATACCCTTTCTTGGACGTTGAAGAAGTTCTACCCACCATCACATGATCCAAATTCTTAGTTTTGCAAACCTTGCGGATTAATCTTTTCCCATGCATGGAAGTTGTTAGGTCTAGGTGTGCACCATAATCAGCCAAAATCACTTGAATCATTTAAGTTGATGATATGCAAGAGGAAGACAGTAGTTACATTCTCCTCTGTTTCTCCTGCAACACTATCTATCTGCTTGGAAAAAATCTTCCACTTTCGCGACTAGCTCTTCCAAATCCATCACACCAACCGCAAAAACGTCCATAGCCATGATCAATTCGACCTCCTTGGAGATCCAACGCGGTTCGATTTATGCACACCCGTACTATTTGTTTTCTAAGTTTAGAAATGTATTAGCTCATCCCCTGTAGACACTGAAGGATTACACGAGTTTTACCCTGGTTAGTGAAATCCAATTTATGTTAGAATAAGTTAGATTATAAGCATACTCTTAGAGTGCTAATATTACGGAAGACTTGACAATTGTATTAGTGTCAAAAGAGTGGGTGCAGCGTAATCAACTACCCATTAGATTACCGTTGTAGACTACACTATATGTAGAAGCATACTTACTAATTAAAACAGTTTGATTGATCACGAATAAGCTATTCCAACATGGTATCACGAGCAATACGTGTTTTCTTTGATACTCCAGTTAAGATTGTGAATGCTTTAACTTATTTACCTCAATACTTGAATTTTTTTTCTCTCTCTCGTTCCTAACCATGAATTTCTCAAGTGAATTGAAGAACATTGACCCAACACAAAAACTAGACAGCATCGACAACTACGCTGCTTGGGGCTATGTGCATGCAAGCTATCTTATGCAAAAGGAAATGCTTTGCGGCAGTCAAAGGAATCATTGCTTTACTGAAGTTGCTACCTACACTTGAGATTCCCCGAGGATTGACTAATCAAGCACGTAAAATGCAACTACGGTTAAACAATAACAAGAGTCCGCTAACGAAGATGTTCAAGAAAAAATTGACATCATGAAAACAACGCAATGATGTTATTTACTATATTCATGATGAACATGCGTGAGCACATTGTTCATCATATCTATGTTCTGTTTGATTCTCATATGATGTGATAGTGTCTCCAACTCTTTTCACATCAAATGAGAAGAGCTGGAGACATTGTTTGCCTCAGCTAGTGAGGATTGAAGACAGCTCTTGCATCATAATTGTCCAATATCCAATATATCAATGACAGAGGGTCAGTTTATCGAGACCCACATACATGATGTGAAAAATCTCACTAATCAACTTTGAAACTGCAATGATACAATCAAATATTTAAAATCTATAACTCTCATCTGATGAGTTTGCCCAAAGTTGATGAGGATTTGCTTCTTCTATTAAAGCTAGAATTATTCATAATCCTTATAACTTTTTTACTCAACTATGATGAAGAAATGAACTGTGATGTCAGATGTAACCAAAACGGCATGTCTGCCGAATCTATGTTTGCCATCATCTAGCGCAATTCGTAGTCCATATATCGTAAAGATGATTCTCATTGTGAACGCAATTGCCACGACCAAGACAAGGAGCAGGATCGTTCAAATATGAGGAGATTCGTTTTATTCAAAAGATCCAGCAATGATCGTGACTACCACGGTTCTGATAGGAGACACTCAAGCAACCAACCATGACTCTTGTGATTATTCTCCTCAGATATAAACTAACTCTTGTAATCTCTTGGCGCTCTTAGAAAAGATCTTAAGACAGCAACGGGAACATTTTTCACATTCTACTCCTCTGAACTTAAAATTTAGCCATTGCAATAAGTGCGGAAAATAGTGGCACTAGTCGTATGAATGTCATTAGCACCAGTTGTGGAAGAAGTTCAAAGCGCTTCAGATCTTCTACAACACTCCCAGACATTCCGAGGAAAACAACATGGAATGTGTCGTGCGAATACGTATCGCCATACATCCTACATCGCTGACATGCTACTCACATACATATACGCACACATACACACATATAAGGCGCGAGAGAGAACACACTCGAATGTCACAATTCGCCCCCCTAGTTGGCGGTCAGGTCCCTCTGACTCCCAGGTAGTCATATCTACAACTACATGCTATACACCTTTGTGGGTGCGCAAATCGGTAGGCCGTGTGCTATGTTGCCCTATCGTTAGTCGCCTATATGCAATTCATAACATGTGAAGATCAAGTGATCTACCCCTCTGAGGTACATCGAAGACAAACCCATCGTCCAGCCGGAATAACATTGATAGGTGGAGTCAAGCACAACATGTGCCATCCCCTAAAACACCTATCACACACCAACATATGGGCCGCCTGACCAGCTGATCCACACAGCATGCACCTCAAGCCAATACGTACTATTGCTAAGCTTGGGTCCATAGGCCATCTACGTTTGGAAGGTGGCATGGCGCACAATTGCGCACATGATACTTCCAAACAACGCCGTCACGACCCTCCAACAGGAGAACTCCAGAAGGTAACACCTCCCGCACTCGCAAGATTGTGCGTCCCGCCGTCACATCCAATGTCGTCGGTGCAGCCTGCTGTAGATAGACGTAGTCTCCCACATGGAATCCACAAATTGATGGTCAATAACCTCCTCCCCGAATGATTGCATATCACAACGTATCTCTATGTTGAGCAATCGCAAGATTCTCAAACGCTGCAGGCATAACTCTCCGAAAGAGCTCTGCACGCTGAGAACATACTCTCACCCACATATTCCGGTCATCAAGGTTCACCACCTCGCTAGACTCACGACGAATCGATGTTGGCAAGTTTGGATTTTGGCCGTACAATAGAAAATATGGTGAGAAGGAAGCCAAGGATGTCTGCCAACTGAACCGATATCCCATGACCAACCATGGTAACTTAATATCCCAGTCCCCAAGATGACCTTTCTGGAAGCCATACTTGCGCAACGCTCTCTTCACCGTCTGTACAACACGTTCAGCTAAACCATCCGCCTTT